CCTAACTAAATACAGGCTTCTTCAGAATCTGGTCTCACTGAGACCTTATCACGTTTCCCATAATAATTGTTTAAAAGCTCCCCACGTTCCTGGACCCTCTTACTCCATCCTCGCTCACCATGGATACTTTACCTTTTATTTTACCAAGATCATGGAGAACACTCTACTTGACCATCCCCATTTACCTTTTGTTCTAACAAAACCTCCTTATATCTTGCTACCCTTATTTCCTTTGCCTCTGATTTCCTTGAAAAATGTCATTCTTATCAATACTAACTGCCATTCTTGGTTCATGACATGCCTGCTTTCTTATAGACCTTGCTCCATTAATCAATAACTCCTTCACTTTCATCAAGTAAGAAACGATTATTAAGTACGTACTCTGCTCTGGATTGTGTTTCAGCCTTTATGATGCACTTCCCATCTTAAACGTGGTTTGATCTCCTGTACGCTAAAGAAATATAACAATATCCTTCCTTCTTTGTCCCTCACTCTAGTTAACAGCTGCTGTTTCTTGTTTCCTTCATAGCCACACTTCTTGAAACACATGTCTTATATTTGCCACTTCTATATCTTTATTGTGCTTCAGTGGCTTCATGGCCGAGGGAAGAATGAAAAGTTCTGGAATAGAGAGTCTTGAGTTTGAATTGAGACTTCATATTCATTTAATTGTTTATTACTCAGTTTTGGGCCATGAGTAAGCTGCTTGATATCCCCAAGTCTTTATTTTCTCATTTGTGAAATGGTCATAATTTCACAATTATGCAGAAGCATCTGAACATTATAGTTCTTAATAAACATTCCTATTCTTAGTTATCACTTAATCTGGCTACATCATTGATACATGGCAGTCATCCCATCTCAATTGTAAAAACCCAAACCTTTTCCACAAACAAATTATCCATACTTTTGGCTCAGTTAGGATATCTTAGAATGGACTAAGAATCAGGAAGTTTAACTCTGTATCCAGCCCTTCAGGTAATGAACAAACAAACATTGCTCTTACTTTCTTGATTCCTGTGTGTGTGTGCTCAGTCATGTCTGACTCTTTGTGATGCCATGGACGATAGCCTGCCAGGCTCCTCTGTCCATGGAATTTTCCAGGCAAGAATACTGGAGTGGGTTGCCATTTCCTTCTCAATTCTTGATTCCTGAACAACACCAGAAGCAAGTTTTCAGCATGGGAAGTGGAATGGTTTGATAGAAAGAATACTTGTGCTGGAATCATTCAGATCTAGGTTTGACTACCAATCCCAACTTGTAGTAGCTGTAGGGCACTGGATAATGTATTTTGCTTTTCTGGGTTTTATATTCCCTGCATGTTAAAATGACACTACTGCTTCCTAACATGCAGGATGGCTATGAGAATTAGAAATAGTATGTACCTACTATTTCTACCCAACACAGTGGGTGTTTTGCTTAAGAAGTATCCTAGCACCTAGAACCATTTTTTTTTTTTCTACACGGGACAGGCTCTTATTAAACCTCTAAGGGCACATTTATGTCTCTATGTGTAGAGAGACTAGGATAATCAAACTTACTATGCTTTTTTTTCTTTTAATTTTTGTTGAAACATAGTTGATTTCTAATATTGTGTTAGTTTCAGGTATAGCTTAGTATGATTTCTTTAAAAAGTTTTCTAGGGACTTCCTTGGGAGTGCAGTGGTTAAGACTCTGAGCTCCCAATGCAGGGGGCATGGGTTCAATCCTTGGTAGGGAAACTATGATCTACATGCATGCGTGCTCAGTCATTTCACCCGTGTCCAACTCTTCGTGACCCTACGGACCATAACTTGCCAAGCTCCTCTGCCCATAGGATTCTCCAGGTGAGAATACTGGAGTGGGTTGCCACGCCCTTCCCCAGGAGATCTTCCTGACCCAGGGATCAAACCCTTGTCTGCAGTGTCTGCTGCAGATTCTTTACTGCCGAGGCACTGGGGAAGCCTAAAGATCTACATGGTAAGGCCACATGCAAAAGAAGTTTTCTAAACTTCCACTTGTGCCTGAAACAACATGCTACACTGCACTTGTGACCATTTTGCTACAAGCGAGCTTCCGACAAGCCACCTGTTTTTCTGAAGTGTCGTGTGGCTGCCCCGCTTCTCCCCTGGCTTGACACCACGCAGCCAAGTGCTGCTGGGAGAACTCCCTCATCTGTATATAGAGCACTCACACACGGTTTCTTATGCTAATTTTATGTTTTTTAAAGTTCCCATAAATTTCTTTGTCACTTTTTAATTTAATCTCTTCTTAGTTAAATAGTAAACCGAGGGTGGGTCTGCACTGCCCCCCAACACTTTACATCTATCATACATAGCAGAGTATTTCATGTCTTACTGGTTTGGACTTTCCTTTTCCCTCTCTTTTCCCTTTAGGAAAAAAAAAAAAACTAGTTTAAAATAGTTTATTGTGAGATAAATATATGCACAGTAAAACACTTAAGGAAAGATAAGAGGGAATACTGAAAAGAAAAATCTCATATTCTATATCCCATCTCCCATTTCCCAAAGACAACTGTTACCAGTCTCATATGTGTCTTTCAAGAAATATTCCATGCATTTTGTCACATAAATTAGACCTTAGTACAGTATTCTGCACTTTGCTCTTATAACAAATTTTTTTAGAAGATTTCTCTTTACTGACACAAAGAGAGCAATGAAATTTTCATATCTGTGGCATTCTCCATTGCATAGATTTACTATAATTTATTTGACCCATCTCATAATTGATGGAAATTTTGATTCATTTTTTGAAAATTATTTTATCAAGTAAAAAATATATTGGTTTAAAGAGTACACTTCAGGAACTTTCCTGGCAGCCCTGTGGTTAAGACTACCCCCTCCCAAGGCAGGGGGCACAGGTTCAATCCCTGGTTGGGGAACTAAGGTCTGTGTGGTGCAGACCAAAAAAAAAAAAGTACACTTCAGTGGAATCAGTATGTTTGTATTAGTGCAATCATCACCCTAATCTAATTTTAGGACACATGAATCACCACAAAAATAAAGCTGACCTATTATTTTCCTCACCCCATCCTCTCCCCCTTACTCCTGCCTTAGGCAACCACTAATTTACTTTTGGTCTCAGTGGATTTGTTTGTTCTGTGTTCTTCAGATTAATAGAATCATACAATACATGGCCTCTTGTGACTGCTTTTTTCTCTTAGTTGTCTTTGATATTCAATCATGTTGCAGATATCAGAACTTCATTCTTTCTATGGCTGGTTTATATCCCACTGTATGGATACCACATCTACTTATCTATTTTTCAGTTGATGGACTTTTGAGTTGTTTTCATTTTTTAGCTGTTACAAATAATGTTGGTGTGAACATTTGTGTTCAAGTCTTTGTGTTGACATATGTTTTCATTTCTTTTTACTATTAATGTATGTCCAGCATAGAATTGCTTAGTAACCGTATGTTTACTATTGGGAACTTTAGTTTGTTTTGTATTTTTTGATATCTTTAGATTACTAAACAAGTACAATTACAAAATTATTCTTGTACTTGTATGTTTGACTACAAGTCTAAATATATCTGTAGGGTAAATTCTTAGAAAGTGGGATTCGTGGATCAAAAAATAGAACATTAAAACATTTTGGTAAACAGTGTCATTTGGTAAGAATTTATCAATTCATGTGTCTTCTAACACAAGAGGATTACACCTGTTTTACCACAACCTCATTAACAGTGAGGTATTATCACACTGTTTTGGTCTTAATTCTGATATATAAAAAAATGCTATGACATTTTAACTTGCATTTCAATGTTTGCAAGTGATGTTAAGGATCTTTTGATATGGTTATAAGACATTTTGTGTGTATGTGTGTTTCCTTAATATAGTATGTTAGTGATACAGCACCCTATTTAATTAAATGGCTGAAAAAAAGAATTTGTCTCTTCTATGATTGACAGTTGATCTAATACATTACTGTTTGATCTAAATAGAATATAACTTACAATATAGGCATTCAAGTAGATATTACCAGTTATGTCAAAGCATCTTACAACTTTTCAGAAGATCTTCAGTAGCTTTCAAAGGTAAGGATTTGAAAGTGTTTTTGAGCCTATCTGGGTCATAGGCTTAGAAAATCTAGTTTTACAGAATTTTTTTTCTTGCCTAATTCAAAGTCATCTATTCTTATCTTCAAAGAATTTATAAGCCCATAGTGGATGTAAACCCACAGAGGATGGGAAATTTTGAAAACCAATTTAGTTGAAAACAAAGTACTGTAACTATATCAGTGAAAAACTCTTTGCTTTGAAAGCAAGCTACCAAGAAAATGTTGGTCAACTTAGAATATTCCATCAACATGGAAAGAAAAGTAATACTGAAACATTCATGTTTGCATAGATAATCAAGCAGAAATTAAAATGAAGGTGAAGAAGTAGAGATCAAAACAAATACAATCAATTAGAGGAAAATAAGTAAAGAAAGGCTTTGATCACTATCTTAAACTTCCGCCATCTCAGATCTAACTTTAACAATGTCTCTGAATCTTTTTTAATTCTTAAAAATTCACTTCCCCAATAACTTTGTTGGATATTAATAATTTATGTAGTTATTTTTATAATTAGATGTAATCATGAAGTGTTAAAAGTTTTTGTTTATTTTCAGTTCATAAAATGACATGAAATTCAAATCAGGCAGTAATTTGACTGCAGGTTGCTGACTTCTGAATTTTTCTTTTTTAAAAAAGGTTAAGGGATTTCCCTGGTGGTTCAGAGGTTAAGACTTGTGGCTTTTACTGCCAAGCCCCAGGTTTGATCCCTGGTCAGGCAGCTGAGATCCTGCAAGTAGTGTGTGTGTGTTAGTCATTCAGTCACGTCCAACTCTTTTGTGATCCCGTGAACTGTAGTCCACGAGGCCCCTCTGTCCATGGAAATTCCCAGGCAAGAATACTAGAGTGGGTTGCCATTTCCTTCTACAAAATATTATATTAAAAGGAAAAAAGTCAGTGTATAGGAAAAGTTTTTTGTCAGAAGCTGATAGTTACAGAGTACCTTTCTTGTTTCTAAGATAGAGTGTATTGGTGCAGAAGACAATAATTGAATTTCTTTTCTTCAAATGCTAAAATTAAAAAAAAAAGTATACTTAAACTTATATAGGAGTAAAGGAAGTCCTACTAGAACTCAAGGTTTAGAAAAGCCTCATATGAACTGGTTGATATGTTGAAAGGATAGTGAATGTTTTGAGTCAATCAACATTTTTAAAATAAAAATCAATATAACCCAGAAACATAACATTTATGAGCAGAGAAGGAGTAAACATTGGTGATGCAGAGATAATATTATAGCTTCAGAATATGAGCAAATAGAGGGACATCTAAAGCAGATGCTCCAAACTCAACTTTCAGTGGAAGCCAGGCAGCAAAATGCATTTGCATGTACTGCTGGGAGTTGACTGGTGAGCAGGAAATTCATACTGTCTTGATGGGATCACTGCTATAAGACTCCAACCTACTGTAAATATGTGGAGAACAAGTCTAGATTTTTCTGTGAAATCTTCCAATTTTTTAATGTTGGCAACTAACTAAACAAAACAAAACAAATACATCAAACATACACCCCACCCCACCCCCAAACTCTACACACCAAACGAAGCACATTTTTGGATTATTTTGTGATAAATGTGACATACTTTGTTAAAATTACTTTGCGATAGATGCCTTTTTTTTTTTTTTTTAAGTGAGAGGAAGTGTCATAAAGAAAAGGACTATTAAGGGAAATTGCCTGATCATAGGTTCATCCAGGAAGCCAGATTTTTCCTGTTAAAACTATAAGGTTTTGAAAGGGGTAAATTAGACCATCAGACCAAGTAGACATGAATTGAGGAAAGAGAACCCGAACAGCCAACGAAGAAGACAGAACTTCCTTGTAGTGCATGGGCAGAGCACGAAGTGACCAAGATCCAGTATAGCTGTAAGCACAGCTGTGTAGACAGACTGGTTTAAACAGAAGGTTCAATTCAGTTACATGCTCAGTCTCTCAGTCTCGTCTGACTCTTTGTGATCCCATGGACTGTAGCCTGCCAGGTTCCTCTGTCCATGGGATATCCCAAGCAAGAATACTGGAGTGGGTTGCCATTTCCTATGGGGCTTCCCAGTTGGCACTAGTGGTAAAGAACCTGCTTGCCAATGCAGATGTAAGAGACACAGATTTGATCCCTGGGTCCGGAAGATCCCATGGAGGAGTGCATGGCAATCCACTCCAGTGTTCTTGCTTGGAAAATCTCATGGACAGAGGAGCCTGGCATTCAGGGGGCTTCCTGAGTAGCAGATGGTAAAAAATCTTCTTACAGTGCAGGAGACCCAGGTCCATCCCTGGGTTGGGAAGATCCCCTGGAGTAGGAAATGGCAATCCACTCCAGTATTCTTGCCTGGAGAATTCCATGGACAGAGGAGCCTGGTTGGCTACAGTCCATGGGTTTGCAAACAGTCAGACTTGACTGACTGACTAACACTTTCATGCTTACATTAATTTTTTTTAGATTTTTACTAAAATGATAGTATAATTAAAAATGTATATAGAAGATCTAAGGGACTCTGAGAATATCCAAAGGCCTCACGTTGAAATATACTATCTTGACAGTTAACAACTCAGTCAGACTTGGGAATTGCAAATAAAGATTCCTCTACCTCATTTATCTCATCTGTATGTTTTGCTTAATGATTCTAACTGATCAAACAATACCAAATTTTACTGTTCCTAAATCTAATTCATTAATTTCTTCACTATTTTATGCAAAGTAAATAATATATCACATTTACACTGTGCATCTAATTTCGTATGAAGTCCAAATATAATAGTAAATTGGTGAAATTAATGTAATCAATATAATATTTAACAACCACTTATACTGATTCCTATTTTGTGTTTTCTTATTCCCTATACCTAGCATGTGAACAATTTCTATCAGTGCTACCCATGAAACATTCTGAATTCATCTATCTCTTCCACCCTAGTCCAAGCCATGTCATTTCTCGCCTGAAAGTCTTCTAATCAGTCTTCATATTTATTCTTACGTGCCTACATTTTATGCTCCACACAGCAAAGAGAAGTCCCAAAATATAAACTAGATTATCATATTCTTCTTCATAATGCCTCCAATTTCAGTGGCTTCCTATTACAAATTTTGAACTATGACCTTCTAGAACCCAAGGAGTTTGGTCAGTGCCTACTATTACAGCCTCATCTTGAATCACTCTCCCTTCATATAGGTATTCTAGCTGACATAAGGGCTTGCTATTTCTTTAACCACATCAAGCTGATTCTTGCCAAAGTAATTTGCACTAACTCCTTTCTGCTCAGATATTCCTCTCCCATATCACTGTGTAATTGGATCCTTTCATCATTCATGACTCTGCTTAAATATTATGTGCTCAGAGACTTCTTCACTGACAATCTCTTCTAAAATCACTTCACCTTGTCTGCTACCTTCTCAATTACTTGGTTGCATTATTGGTTTTATTTTATTCACAACACTAAGCATTCTCTGAATTTGTTTATCCATTTATTTGTGTTTTATCTGCTCTTCCAACTAAGATGTAGGCTATATGAAAGCAAAAATTATATACATCATTCTTATTGTTGTATTCCCAGGCATAAAACTATGGCAGTCAACACACTAAATATTTGCTGAATAGATAAATGAATAAACAAGAGCTCTTCTGCTGAAAAAAAAAAAGGAAATGTCAAATTCTCTTGCATGTTGCTGTTATTAGAACAAAAGCAAAGATTAAACATAATAATAAAGGATTTATTTTGTAATTCATGTTTATCACTAATATTCATACTAAAGATCATCATCATTTTCAGCATGAAGCAGTGAAATTGAATGCTACAGGGCACTGAACAGAAAGAATGACAGGCAAATATAGGCATAAATGACATAATTAGTATAAAGAGTAACATTTTAACATCAGACTTAGAGCTGGGAGAAGAAGTCATCCAGTAGAAAAATTCACTAGGTCAAAGTACAATTGAATTTTAAATCAGTGATCGATTGAAAGTCTTTGGTAATAAGAGAGTCAGGCCAGTCAGGAATGCAGGACCGAAAGAAAGGATTCTGAACAGATAAGAAATGGACTGGTCAAAAGCCATCTAGATTAGGGATATTTGTCCCCATTGGTGCTGGTGCCTGCCAGTGAAGGAGATGTAAGAGATGTAAATTCCTGGGTCAGGAAGATCCCTTGGAGGAGGAAATGGCAACCCACTCTGGTATTCTTGCCTAGAGAATCCCGTAGACAGAGGAGCCTGCAGGCTATGGTCCATAGCATTGCAAAGAGTCAAACATGACTAAAGCAACAGCACAAGCACGCATATCCTAGAAATAAAAAGGGACTGAGGTGAGGAAACAGGTGGGATTATAGCTGGCTTCAAATACATGGAAGACTAATCTGAGAATGAGTCACATATTTGAACATACTACAGAGGCAGTATGAACACCAAAGGAATTTATAGAAAGATTTCAGTGGAAAGTAAGATTAAAATTTCTAGGAGACAGAACACACTAAGAAGTGGATTCTTTAGTCACAGAAATTTCAAGTGTAAGATGATGCTTCCAGGGACTTCCCTTGTGGTCCATTGGTTAAGAATCTGCCTTCTAATGCAAAAGACACAGGTTCGATCCTTGGTTGGGAAACTAAGATCCCACATGCCATGAGGCAATGAAGCCCATGCTGCAAGTACTGAGCCCATGCCTCAACTAGAGAGAAGCCCGTGCAACACGGCATGTGTGCCACAACTAAGGCCTGATGCAGCCAAGTTAAAAAAAAAAAAAAAGATGATGCTTCCAGACATTTAGAGCCCATTCCATTAGCATGGATCAGTGGAAACGGCTGTTTGAGTTCCAGCCAGGCTAATTACCAATTGTAAGACCTTAAGTCCTCTTCCTTCCTCTTATTTAAAATGGGAACAGCTAAACCTGCTACATAAATTGAATGAGATGTGCATAGTGTACCAGGTACAGATTCTGCAAGCAAGTAGGCGCTCAATAAATAAATAATGGTCATTATGGAAACTTTGCAACTGTGAGAAGACAGCCCAGGATGCTGATGACTTGATAGCTTGTAGAGGCCTTTCAGACTCTCCGTGGCTTCTCAGTTTCCCTGATGTTGATATTGAACTAATTGATATTGAACTATTCAATTAATATTGAACTAATCTTTGAATAGAAAGGACAAACTTATGACTATTATTTCAGACAATTTCTTTTATTTTGTTTTCAGGAAAAAAAGTAATATTGCCAGCATTTGTATTCATTAAGACCTTAACAAAACTATTATATATATATTTTTAGAAAAGAATGGAACTGGTCAAAATTCATACAGAAAGATCAGCTGGGAAGGAGAAAAGAGTTCAATATATATATATGAGGCCCGATTCCCCTGCATTGACTCCAGAGCCATCCCCCGTTCCCTATAAAACACGACCAGTGGCTTGACTTCCTTTAGGCAACTCCAGATATTCCTCGAGAATACCCTCCCAAGTCTAGAGGAACACCAAGTTCAGCACAGCAACTCGAGGAATGCTCTGTGTACCCCAAATCGTCTCGAGATGAGAGCTGATTCCCTGGCTTAGACTCAAGACGTATGCCAACTTTCCACAAGCACCTCAAGAGGAGGCTTCTCTCAGCAATAGGTATGTGGGAGGGACCCTGAGTTTGCTGCCTCAAGTGGAATATACACCGAGAAGCCCTATCTCTCTGTAATAGTTAATCATTGTTATATAACTTGTGGACAATGAAGCAAGATAGTGTTGGTAGCCTAGTAAGAAGTCATATGTAAAAAAGCGATACTAGATGCAGATAATATGACTTGATAAATGCAAATTTTGCAACCATGAAAGTTAGTGATACTGGAATTTTAGAAAGATGAAACTGGGGAGGGAAGGGAAAGGGGTTTAGTAAAGCTCCATTTTGCTCTTTCCACATGTGTCAAGAATTCACAAGTGAAATATTTTATGTCCAACATATAATGGACACCAACCCAAAGTTATCTTGAGGAACTAGGAGATATAAGAAGTTATTCTCATCTAAACTCCCCCGGTCTGATTTCTTCTGATATGTTT